GCACAGGGCCATGGAATGCACATGCTGCCTGACTTAAAAAAGACATAAAAATGCATTCCTCTCACCATGGCACCCCCAGAAAACCTAAAAGGGAAAATATCTTTGTTTCATTCAGCCTAAGAATTCAAATCTCTAAATACAGACTGCTAGTTTGTGCCTTTCAAGAGGTGCCACCCTGAAACCCACGTTAAATAGCTGTGTGCATCTGGAGGAGGTTGTTTTACTGAAAGACTTGTAGTTGCCAGCGGGTTTAGTACTGAAGACAATAGTGGACCTCCTTAAAAAACAAGCTCTCTCTCCTATTCAGGCTCTAGAGAAAGAGCAATCAAGCTCTTTATGTAGCTGCAGGTGATGATGGTCGCTACCTCAGTCTTATAACAAAGCCAGGCAGATCTTAGTTCACAGTTACAGTGGTTAGGCTGTCTTTTTATTTATTCTTATTGTAAAAGCCAGAGGAAGACAAAGCCAGAAGCTGAAACAAAGTGACAGTTTCATGTGTGAGAAGGTCTTCAGGAATGACACATATGAAGCTTTCCAGAAGGTGTCTATGTGGTCCTGAAAAGAAACAATTGTCAGTAGACCAAAACTGTATGCAAAGTTGTTCCATAAATATATGTATTTTTTTATATGTTTCTCATCTTCTGTGATAACAAGAATGACAGTCACAGAGCTGCCTGGTAAGGCACATATGTAGAATATGAATGCCAGGTTTTGAACTCCTGGAGAAAAGTCCTGTGGGGCAGTCACTTCTTGAGAAATATACTTTATAGGGATGGATCTGCAGAACAAAACCTGCAAGACTTTATCTGGAAATAGGACTTATTTGACCAATAGAAAATGGTTCTGTTTGAACTACTCAACTAAAATCACTTTACAATTAGTGGGGGGGGGAAAAAAAAAAAAAGGAAGAAAAAGAATTCACTAGACTCAATGTATCTCACCAAAATAGTCATTTTGACTATAAAAAGATGCCTGTGACCAACCTCCAGCTATATTATATGAGAAGGGCTGCTGGAAGTAGATTATTGTAGTAAGTTGTTAGGTTGTATTGAAACACTGGAGCCTCCAAGATGCCTTTAGAGAAGGAGATGATGAACTGCCTGTTAGAGGTAACTCTGTGTACTGCAGAAAGTTAGATCAGTAGCTTAGACTTGATGTATATTAAATGGCTAAAGGTAAATGAAATAATCTTCCCACCCATAGCTGTTTTTAAGAGGATACCATTAATAGAATGGAGACAATAGCTGTAGACACTGTCCACAGCTAGGGATACTTTTTCCCACTTTCCGGTAATAGACTTGCTGCATATGATCATGCTGTATTCAGGCTGTGTCTCAGCCTGTTGTCTGAATCATGAGAGGTTACAATAAACAGTAATCTGCAATTTTAAAACCAACAGAAAACTTGCTCCAATGCACTTATATGGCTAAGAGTAAATGCAGAGCACTGTGAACATGTAGACATCACATGGAAAGGGGATGGTATGAGCTACCTCAATTTGACTGCTTACTCCCTTGAAAACATCCAATATGGAACTACTATTTACAAAATACTGGATCATGGTTCTCTGAACATCAAACTGGTATGAGATACGTCAGCATCCACTAATTAAATCACTCAGAAGATGAGTACTAATTCAATTAACAGTGATTTTAGACAAGAGTGGTATTTTCAAAAGCAAAACAATTCTGGGTGCCTGATTTTTAGAAAATGTGCTTATGAATTCTTCAGGAATATCATGAACTCTTAAAGAATTCCCAAACAGACATTGAAAAATTTGAAACAACTATCTTCTAACATTTTTTACCAAAACTTTTAGGGAAGAAAATTATGAACTCTATGTTAGTACTAATATTTACAAGCATTTATGCTATGTTTGTCAAAGTTACTTTACTGGAAAAAGACACACCACCATTCACTGATTTGTGCATGATACTTTCAAATCCTCTGACATCTCCTTGTTTTGTTTCAAGGACAGCAATGAGTTGATGTTTTGGTGTTTCAGCCTAGATATGGAACACGATGGAAAAATCGTAATCTTTCTTTCCTTGCTACAAGAACTCCAGATTACCTCTGCTCTTAAACAGATGTAAACAGAAATCATCTTGACTGTGGAAAAAGCACTGGTCTTTGTGTTTAAGAACCTCAGTTTAGAATAAGTTTAACCAACACCAGCCAAACTGTTGTGAAATTCTTATAACTAATCTATTTCACTTGACGTATTCTTCCTCAGTGCCCATTTGCTTTGTGCTTGTACGCATTAAATGGCTGAACTACAACCTTGTGCAATGTTAGAGAAAATGTGCAATTTCATTCTTGAGGCAGAAGACTTGAGTAACAAATGAAAAAAACAATGTGCCACTGTACAGAATGTTCTTTAAACATGCAGGGATATTGCAGCTACATTCATTGCTCTGAATTATGAGTTTCCTGTAGGTATTCTTTTTCCTGGATAGAGCCAAAACAAAATGAAATTAAACTAATTTTAAGTATTAGCTTTAAGTATTTCAAAATGTGACATTTATTATTTTAATCTTTTGTCTGACTCAAGCTCAAAACATGCAATGGAGTTTTTAAAGACATTATTATTATACCATACTAATAAAGGGGATAGTGCAGGTATTAGTGGATTGTGTTCCTTAAGGAGTACTCTTAATTGTATTCCTGCTATTCCACTATCAGTGGATACTGGAATAATGAGCAGCTTAAATAAGCTAGCTACTGCTTGGTTAGTAAATCTCCGTAATAATGTTACACTGTTTTCCATGGGATTTATGTTTATACGAAAACAGGAAGCCTAAGTAAAGAACTAATCTTAGGTATTTCTTTCCCCTTTTAATTGCTGCTGTTTTACTAAATCATTTGAGCTTTGCCTATAGGTGAACAGGGAGTCTGTGGAAATCTAATGTGTGCTTAAAAGATTTCTGAAATTCTGGCATTACTAGTTGCTTTTTAAAATATGTTCTTTCAGAATTTCTCTGCTGGACAGGGTGATTTGGGTTTACAACAAGCATCTGCTTGATAACATTGCCCTCTGTTTTCTTGGAGGGTATTTCTGATGGCTCTCATTCTGTCCTAATAAAATTTTATATTGGTTTGATAATCACTCATTTACAAATGGTGCCTAAAGATCTTTGTTGCTGACTGAAGCTTAGTTCACAAAAATTTTGACAAGAAATATGATAACAATAATCAGTATACAAAAGCTAGACTGATTAGCAATAATGATTTCCAGACATGGAGAGATTATCTACTAGCACCATCACCTCATGTCCTGCAACCACAGAGCAGCACAGAAATACTCAGCATCTGAGCTCCAACTAACTCCCTTAACACTGAAAGACCTTATTTCCTTCACCAGCCGTGCAATCTGAGGCTGCTTGAATTCCTTCATTGCCTTATACATAAAACAAACTCACAGCACTGTACCCTGCCCAAAAATACCATACTGCTTTGAGGAAGAGTGCTATCATTTTATCACCCAGTGTTTTCCTAAAAGGGAGTAAATATTCTTTGTGGCAGGGATTGCCACATTCTTTTTCATCCTAGACACATAGCCCTTTCAGCTGGGTCTATTTCTTCTCTCTGACAGCATTGCGTACCCCACCCTGCCACCTGGCTGTGCCCACTATTCCCACAGTACTTTGCTGTACATGTTATCAGGCCATTTTAGAAAGGACACAGGTTGATGTGTCTGCTATTTTCCATAGTCACATTCCCACAAAGCAGCATATTGTCAACTACTGCAAGGCCAGGCAGACATGGTCTATGCTAAGGAATATGCCACAGTCAAGACTTCCCTTGCAGTGTAACCATGACCTTTTCTAAACCCTATCCCTGAGAATGGACTATCATCTGAAGGGCTTAGATAGGAAGCAAGTCTGGTTTTCATCAGGCATGGATAAAGGTTCCACTCTGAAAACCACTATAAATTACCTCTCTCCTTGATACAAGTACAGAACTGTTTTATACAACATGAAACAGCCCCAGTGATAGAAATGGGGTAATATATAATATAATGAATATATCACACTTAAATATGTACTGTGGTCACCAGACACTCTCCTTGGAAGGGCATTCCCTGCTAAAGCCACTGGTTGGCTTCAGAATGGAAGATGAAAATGTGGCTTCCTGCCTTTCTGGGCATGCCATGACAAATGGCATTACAGTGTGCTGAAAGCAGATGTACCTCAGTCTCACCTCTGTGAACAGGCCTGTATTTGTTACATCCTACGTCTAGACATCCTCCTAAGTCCTAGCAGTCATTCAGTTTCTTGAAGATATCAACAACGGCAGCAATTTCCCCTTCCCATTCTCTTGATTAAACAGAGGGAAGGAGGTAGAAAGAAGATGAGAGACATAAAACTCCAGATGTTGTCAACACCAATATCTAGTTCCACCAGAGAATTTGAACACTGAAGCAATGATGAATTACAGTGGGGTCTCTATGGCAATCCAGATTGCAATTATAATACCATTGAGAAAGAATAAGGGCTAGCATTCATTAAAATGATTAGCAAATGAATTTATGACAATTTCCACTGGTCCTTTCAAAGAACATGAATACATCTGTAAGAAATTAGGATGACACATCAGTGTAACTCATTCATTAGTAAAGTCTGGTATTGCACATTTGTTGCAAAATTTGTTGCAACTGTTACCAGTTGTTTTTTTTTAATTCTATAACTGTACTTTATTAGAACCATAACAAAATATCTCTAGATATTTGTATAGAGGAGTACTAGTTAGTCTACAGACTATTATGTAGGTGATTTAGTTATCAATCCAAACTTACTTTGGAGTAGAAACAGAACCTCTTCAGTTTTAAAGCAAGTAGGTATTTAACCATTATGAGAGAGTTACAGTCACCCTGCCTTCTTTTAGGGTTATAGGGTGATTAATTTTACATTAACAAAAACCTATTAAAGGATCTCTGTGATCTGAGTAAGTGTGGAGGGAGAAATAAGAATACCAGAAAAGCAAACCCAGTAGTAACATACCAAACAGAGATGGAGTCAGTGCAGTCACTGCTGTCTTCCTGTGAGTGTGGAGTCACAGCTCGACCATTTTTAAAGGCAGACTGTCAGGACACAACCTAATAAATGGCACAGGTGAGAAGAAACACAAATTAGGAGAATTTATTCATTTTAACTTAGGCAATACGAAGAGTATCCATTAGCCATGAGTAATAAAACATGAGTTTATGCTTTGCTAGTCTACTTAGCAATTGTTCTTACTGAATTGTGCTTCTCCGCTTTGCACATATAGCGCTATTAAATATACCTGATAAAAATCTTGCTAATGCAAGAAACCCAAGCTGTGTATTTACATGTCGCTGTGCAAATGCACCAAATGCTGACCGAGACAGAAGGCCTGCTTTAGTTCATAGCACAGAGGCATTTGCATGTGTGAGATCCACCAGATGCTGTGAAAAGCATCCCATGTCCATCTCCACTGCCCTGTTTTGGCACCTTGTGAAGCCAAATGGAACAAAATGTTGAAGCAGGCAACTGCAGGCAACTCCACAGCCCACCTTCAAGTGATACGAATAATGGGGAAGCTGTAGCTTCTTTAGCCACTCTGTTAAGACTGTCCGTGTAAGGTTCAACACAAACAGATATTTGCAGGGTTGTGGTCTTATTTACTACATTAGAAATAAATGCTTCTTAAGTAACAAAGCCTGCATCTCAAAAATATGTATTTGATTTGTTTTCTATACAGTGAGGAAAAAGTTGAGAGAAACAGAAGTTATAAACCCTTAGCATACACTCAAGAAAACCCATTGTTATAAACTCAGTGTTTCATGAGCAATGGGAGAAAATATGAGAAAATGCACTATTAATTTAAAACAGCAATACTTCATATTGAATACAAACCAAAATAACAGCAAAGTTCCTCCATACTTTAATGACAAAGTTGCAAGTTTTTTTACGGCACTAGATTAGCATAACTGAACAGATTTATGTACATTGCTGAGAGCCAACACAAAAACATTTGGAAGATATTCTGTGAAAATGAAGAAAACAATCCTAATGTTTCCCTGTGAACCTTTAGTAATAGCTACAAATATTTGTGTTAACATTTTATTTATTTGGTATTTTTTCTACTTGTTATTAAATATCATCTTGGGAGATGTGCTGGAAGGAAGGGTGAAAAAGTAAACCAAGTCACTGCTGGGTTGCTGTTTAAGGCAAGGATCCAGCTCTGACCAGGTGTGCTCTGCTCTACAGCAATACTTGCTGCTGCTCTTCTGCAGCATCAGCAAAGACAGTAGTAATGAGCTCAATAAGCCCTTCCTTACTGTAGGAATTGTACAAGAGGAATCTCTTTCCTCTCCAAGTCATGATCTGCTCTACAGTTTTTAGACACTTGGACCCAGTTTACCCAAAGGTGTTCAGAAGATGAAATGACACTCCTTTCCAAAGGATTCAGAGGTTCTTAAGTGACCTTCTGAAATCAGGTTTCTGTCCTCTTGTCCTCTCTCATGAGTCTTATCAAACCCCATGCCTGAATCTTGTTCTGGAAGTTGTTGAAACTTGCAAAATCTCATGGGATTTCCAGCTTGTGGGGAAGAAGGAAATCCACATCTTCAGCATTCCTTTCCTGTTCATATGTCTTCTTCATGTGTTAGCTGTCAGGCCTGCAGTGTCACACCGGTCCTCTCTCCCACCTTTGAGGAAGCAAATGCCATTGGCTTGCACAACAGAAACACCTCCAGAAAATACACCATAAGCATACAGAGTGAAAATGTTAAGCCAGTAGTAAGGGTTTGATGACAAACAGGTAGCATCTCCAACCTGACAGCCCATCTGGGATCAGACCCCATGTACCTTCAGTTTTGCATCTCTATTCCCAAATTTTTAGAAGATGGAAGGCAGTTAGTAACATGATGATCTTCATAGGGAAATACCTTGATCTCATAAGCCCACGAGCACATTTTAGGATCAGCACAAGTGGCAAAACCACTGAGAGAATATGACATCAGCTCCAAATACCAACAAACCACTGCTTGTGACAAAGCAAGGTAGTCCTTGGTCTACAGGACTAAAACTTAACACCTTCAAAACCCATTTTACATAGGAAAAAAACCCCAAACTCATCAACATTATGTATGAGAAGTACAGCAAGTAGACAGAGAGCAAATGACAAATGAAGCAGTCCTGGACCAGGGTCTGAACCATCTGAACCATCTGAAATCTTTGCCTGTGTTCATGATCAGTGTTTACTAAGTTCGTATGCCCTGGCACCAGTAAGAGACTTCAGCAGAAACTGATTGTACAGTCACTAGGTTTTTTAATGATTCATACATTATCTGCTGCTTTGGAAAAGCCAGTTACTGTATTTAATTTGACAGCCCCATGCAGAGTGAGTTCCACAGACACAAAACAAACGTCAGGCCTTGAGACTAACACACATTTCCCCAGATGCAAAAGAGACGCTCACCAGTTGCTCTCTTAGGGGGATGGAAAAAACTAATCCCTCTAAATTATGTAAACCAGAGACTGAAGGCTTAAGGCCTCAGCATTACTTTTAACAAGTAAAGCATCAACCACACTACTGCTTTCACATCTGCCTTCTAATATTTTTATCCTTTGAATGATGTGCAGTACAACTATTTTAAGATCTGCTCCAGAGTGCCTGCAGCTGGCACAGTGTGGAGGTGTCCACAGGACTGCCACCCTACCTCCTGAATGGTTACTGTGCTCTTGTAAAGAGACTTGGATTATGGAAGATCCTTTCTGATCCAACTGTTATTTAATTTTGCATTGAGAAAGACAGTGAGGGGAGAGCTTTTTCTTTTACTCATCTTGTATCTCATTCAGATCTGGGCTGGAAGAGAAACAGAGGAAGAACAACCAGTGAACTTCAAGTGCTTTCCGGCTCTGATTCACATCTGTTACTAATGTATCTTTACATTGCTGGGTAGTTTAATAAACACCGAACGAAGAGTTGTCTGGTGAATTCTGTCCCATCATTTCAGAACTTGATCCCTGGCTGTGACACTAGCCTCTTGGAGGGCATGATGTAATTACACAGTTCGCTTTCCCCATTTGCAGATTGAAATAACAATGCTTTCCTTCACCATAAGCCATGATAGCATGCAGGGAGGAAGAGTGCTGTGTAAAAGGTTGGTGCTACTGGAAAGCGGTTTGATGAGGCACAAACCTTGCTTTGCTGGTAGGCTTGTCAGGACGGGGAGATACTTGCTGGCTCCGCGGAGAGTTACACAGGGTGCTACTGCTGAGCAGCACCAAGCAAGTAAGAGGGAAGGAAAGTGAGTGCTTGAGACGTGGGAAGTGGAGCAAACTTGGCCTGGCCGGCTAGCCAGGGCTCAGTCAAACTTCAAGCGTGGGAACAGCAGCCGTTGACCCACATAATTAAAGGCTGCGTTACCATCAAACACGCCGAATGACAGGGCTGCGCTCGCTGCCCGCGCAGACCGCGCCGGGCACCGGGTGACGCTGGCAGAGGTCTACAGCGATGGGCCGGCTCCGCCTCGCCCGCCCCTCCCCGTCCCGCCTGGCCCAGCGCAGCTGGGACCAGCGCTCCAGCGACGCACCGTGCTGAGCTCGGCGGCCCGCAGGGGGCGCCGCAGTGCCGCGCGTCGGCGAGGGGCGCTGCGGGTGCGGGGGGGCGGAGGGAGCCGGGCGGCCTCTCCGCATTGTGCGGCCGCGCCGCTGCCCGGAGCTCGTGTGCGCCTGGGGACGGGCCGCGCCTCCACCGCCGAGCGTGGCGCCTCCGCGCTGCTGGCTGCGCGCAAGGAGGTGAGAGCGTGGTGCCGTGCGCGGGTGCGGCGAGGAGCGTGAGTGGGAAAATGCGGTGCGGGGGGCACGGTGTCCCGTGCGCTCGGGGCCGGGCGTGCCGCGGAGCGGTGGTGCCCGGAGCAGCGGGGGCTACCCTGCGCCGGGCGGGCGGCACCTGCCGGGGAGTAGAGGCCCCCCCGAAGTTACGGGATGGGCGGTGATGAATGCGTATCCGCATAGACTTACTTGTAGAGGGTACCAACCGGCGAGGGGCGGGCAGGGCACCGGCAGGAGACCGGCAGCTTTCGTGGGAGGGGAACGCTGGTGCTCCCTCCCATCCACCTACCCCGCTAGGTGATACAGCTGCAGCTCCGGACGCGCTCTGCGTTTCCAACTGTTCGTGCAAAGTGAGCGCGGTCTGGTACTTACAGTTAGGCAAAATCAGGACCATGAAGACATCAGAGGTGAATTGGGACCCTCCTCTATGTAAGATGTCTTTACTCTTTGCAAGTTTGTTGGTTTTTTGTTTTGTGATTTTTGTTTTTTTTTTTGTTTTGTTTTGTTTTTTTTTTTTAAGTAGGCAAAAGCTTTAAGCTTTTATCTCAAGAAATACTTGAAATGCATTTTGGTGTAGAGTGGGTAATCTTAACACAGAGAGCTTCCTACGGCACTGTTAGAATTTACGTCTGGAGAGGACAACAGCAGACCTTCATAGCAGGTTGTATTCGAAAGTAGAGTTCTGCCTTGTTTTAAAGGGAGAATAAATTTTTGATGTTTTAGTCAGGGCTGAAGGATCAGCACTATCATCACAGTTGTAATTTTTTCACCCAAGTCCTTAAAGCATTCTACAATGACAAGTACTGTTATATATTTTTACTGTCCAGGTTAGAGAAATCAAGGATATGAAGTGTCAGATGACTTGCTCAAGGTCATGCAGCAAAACTATGAATATAGATAATTCCATGTGGTCCATTAAAAGTGTATTACCAGAAATTCCGGCATCCTTTTTCTAACCCCACGCTTTGCCAAATGTTTGTGTATGAGCTGAGGCAGCTTAAACAAGGAGCAGTAAAGAACATCTGGGTACAGATTTGTTTAGCAGGATGAGTAAGGTATAAGTGCTTAGAGGTTTTTTTCTGCAACTGCAGTTGAGTAACTGAAACCTTTCTGGACAAGGAGGGCTTGAGGAAAGATCATCTATCAGCAGGCACTATTAGTGAGTGCTCACGGCTTTTAAAGACATTCAACAAAAGCTAATTCATTGGAGTTGAGGCAAATACAGTAAATATCAGCAATTGCTGCTGAAAGAGAAAGAACAAGTAAAGAACCTTGGGAGGCAGATACTTCAGACTGTTAAGTACCTTTTTCAGAATTACAGTGCCAGTGGGAAACAGACAGCAAGCGCTTGAAAGCTGAAGGTGGGTTTTGCATGAACAGTGCCAAATGTGTCAGTGGTGTTACAGCAACATTTAAAGCGGGAATGTAGCATCACTTATCGTGACTGTTTAAAAAGGATGTGTGTGTGAGGGAGAGCCTGGCTCCTTGCAGCTCCATCCTCGTGGTGTTCTTCTTCAGGCTCTGCATTGACGTCACAATGACATGGTGAAGCCGAAGACAGGAGCTGGGAACAGTTCTTCTGCCTCACTTTTGATAATCGAGTGAATTTGTCGCCGTTCCTTCCAGCATGGCTAAGAGCGCAGAAGTGAAGCTGGCAATCTTTGGTCGAGCTGGTGTGGGCAAGTCAGGTATGTTTGTTGTCCGATTTTTTCCTTCTGCTTGTCATCAGGTAACTTTTTGCTCCCTCTGTGCAGACAAACTCTTTGTACAAAAGGACAGCTGTGATATTATTCTTGTCAGGGAGATCAGGATCAGGCCAGGAATTTTCTTGTCCTCGCTTTCCACAGTGTTTTCTCCAGGTTCTTTAGAATAAAAGTACTTTTATTGCTGTCAAAAAATGAAAACAACTAACTTCCCACCCTAACTCAATCCCATTTATTGTGAAGTGGGTGGCAAGATCCCTCTTTCCTATTGGAACAGAATTAGTGATATTTAATTTGTCTCTTCATAGCTTGTGCTAGATGAAGTCATTTATATTATGCTTCCTATCCCCTTAGATCAAATCCTCTGTTAAATATTGGATGGCTTCTATAATAGTTGTAATTCTGATTGATTTCAGTGGGAAATTTTAGACTCAGTAACTCAAAGAATTTTTATTCTCAGTGCTCTCTTGGATTTACATTTTTACCAGGATACTAAGGAAATACGATGTGTAAAGTTTGCATTCGGAGAGATCTTTTGAGAAATAAACATAGTCTGGTGAATTCATATTGTAGAAACACAAGGGGGAGGCATAAATGTTAAAAATCCATTTCTACAGACTGCCTTTCCTTCGGTGACATGAGGAGCAGAACATGAGGGTTGCAAGCTCTCCTGGGTAGTTCAGTGCTGTTGCATTAACTTGGCAACTCCAGGGCCACTCTAACATGTCCTTGCACCAGAAGGGTGAGGAAATAAGGACACCGAGTCTAACCATGCTCCTGTGCCAGTTTTAGAATTGCATGATACTATTTGTTTTAGAGAAAACTGCCCAAGAGAAGCCAGGAGGTAGGATGTACTGGTAAGAGCATTAGGCTAGACTCTCAGATGCTGTCAACCAGCTCTGATTCCCAGAAGTAACTTTTGTATTAGAAGTGGCAAGGTTCAGGCTCATAAACATGTTATAGTTTCATTAACTTCAGAATGGGTTGTTTATAAAAGCACATTTACCCAGAAGGTATTTTACCAGAGCACTACCAGTGAAGTAGCTCTGTTAGCCTTCAGGACAAAAGGTGTATGTGAGGCAGAGGTTCTTTGAGATTATGGCACTTATACAAAGACAATGCAGATGAAATTCTACCTTCTTGAATAAAATACCTGAGGGAATGCTGATAACATACAGGGATAAGTTTAAACTGTTCCTTCTCCCTTGCTCTGCTCACCCCACCCCTCTTTTGTATTTGTATTTCAGTGTCCTATCCAAGTTTTGCCAGTAACTTCAGTGGTTCTGCTTTTGGTTTGTCTTGCATTCAGTCGACTGTTTCTGTTGTTGTCCAGTCTTTTGGATGGATTCAAAATTATGCAAGAGGATGTTGAAGTATTTGCAGGAGAACTGAAACACCAAAAGACTTCCCTCAACCTGATATTCCTCACAATTTGAGACCTTTTATTTAAAAAGTACAAAAACTGCCAGTTAAGTGCTCAGTTAAAATGCCTCACCAGCATAGGATTAAGAGCCTTTTTTATCTGTAGCATTGTTTTTGTAGACTTCACTATACTAGGATTTTATAGTAAAAATGTTTTCCTGTAGTCCTAGAACTGGGTGGGAGATAATTTTTAATGAAAAGCCAGTAAAAGCATCCTTAGTCTTTCAGAGTCATCCTCCTCCTCCCTCTTTTCTTTTTTCCCCCTTGAGATGCAAGGAAATATTACATAAAATATGACTAAGGTCTTCTCTTTTTGACTGTGACCACGCATGTGAATCCATGTGGAAATGAAAGTGTAAGTGGGCAGCACAAAAAGGTGAATTTAAGAGAGTAGAGAGACTGTAGAGTGCTATCGACTACCTTGACAGAGCAGCAACTGTGCTTCCCAGAATCTCCAGCTTGCTTATGAATAACCTCTGTTGTGCATTCCCATAGAAGGATCCAGTTTCAACAGCTTGGCCAACTCCAGGGAAATAAGTGTGTGTGTCTGAAGATACCTATCTGCTGTAGCCAATAGCAGCAACAGCAGGAGCTGTGGAAGTGCTGTCACGCCTTTGCTAAAAGCAGAGCTGGACGCAAGTCTCCAGATAGCTGGGTTTGCCAAACAAGTACCCTGATAGACTAGTGCTGATAGTGCCTTTTTGCAGTGTGGCTGTGTAATTCCCTACCCCTGTGACCAGTCTGTAGTACTTTGTTGAGACAGGATCCTGTGGCCATGGGTTACTAGAGTAGGCTTGGCCAGACAGCTGAAAGATAAGCCAGATTCCAGAAGCAAGAATTCAGGGCAGAATGCTGGAGCACACTAGATCTGTGCAATAAAAAGGAGATAAAAAAGGGTGATAAATAAGGCCACTGGAATTGCCAGGAAGTCATACCAAAATATGGTCACTGGCTTGCTTTCTTGGCTCATCTTTATTTCCTGAGGAAGAACCAGGCTTAGGTTCTTAGTCTGTAAGCGGCTCCACCAGCTGACAGCATCTGTGAAGTTATGGACACATACTGTAATGTCCCAGAGAGGATCCTCTCCCAGTTCCTGTCTGAGACTTTGGACCAGTGAGTCAAAGCAGCTATGAAGAAAGAAATGTTTTGCTTCAGGAGAATTAAAGCTGCTCCTCACACTCTATGAAAATCAATAGAACTGCTACCATTCCTGAGGGCTGAGGAACATCCTACTCTTACTGTTAATGCTAGACATCTGTTTACTGAGGTGCAAGATTCCTTGTTCTACTAAGTAGTTCCTTCTGACTAATCCAAGGCTCTCCCAAACATGAGGTGGGAAGCCAGAACACTGTTCACAAGTCAGAATAGTATTAGCATCTCATAAAAGAATTGAAGCCGGGGAAAACAAAACCTGTCTCCACCTTTTTCTGCTTATCAAGTTTGCATGGTTCAAAGATTTAAAAAACAGATGGGGGAATAGCAAGTCTGAGTGTCAGCTTTTTATTGTCCTTCCTTACCTTGTCTCTTTCTGCCTGCTGCATAAGGCCAGCAGAACTGTTAGTCAACTCACTTGTTCTATGTTGGTTTTTACTTAATGTAGACCTAAACCTTTCAAATAGAAAAGAAGGAGGAAACCAATTCAGAAAGGGGCATGTAAAAGTGCTCTAGTAAGGCACTTAGTTCAGAATTACACTAAATCACGGGTCAGCTCATCTGGGCAAGCTCAGTCGGTACGAGCAGCCCAGCCTGCTCTCGTACAGTGGACTGGATGCTCCTCCATTCATCCAGATCTTACTGTATAAAAGTTGCATAAACATTGCTTTAAACTAGCTGAAAAAAAGAATCAGATGAGGAGCTCTTCTTGAGCCAAGGAGCACTTTGCTGCGGCTTCACTCGGGAAGAAGAGAAGACACTCTGTGGGTGGGAAAGGACATTGCTAAGCCCTGCTATAGATAACAGGGCTGCACCTCCTAATTTGGGTTAGAGTCAAGCAGCACTGAGGGGGAGAGTGAGCTTTTAAAGTCTTTTTCTTTATGTCCAAGAGGAGCTTGGAGGGAGCAGAGAATTAAAGTTGAAGTGCATTACTTAAATGTTGCTGTTTAATTTTTTCTTCTGCTGAATTCTACAGCGTCATTCCTATGGTAACAAAAATTAGAATTTCCTAAATAGCTCCTTTTAAAAATACAGTAGTAACAATTAGTAAAGACTTAAAGACCGTGTTCTTCCATGTCATCACAAGGTACAGTACGTGCCCAGAAATCTGAAGAGGAGTGAAAATGTATGAACCAGAAGGAGGAAAAAAAGGCATGTACTGGATAGCACTGCATGCCTGATGCTTTTCCAGCTCATAATTCAGTTGACTATGAATGTTCAAAATACCTCTGCTTAGGAGCCTTTCTATTTTGGCCCAAAAAGAGAGAATGTCCAGCTGCAGCATGTGCTATCCAGTTTGCCTTTCTGCTGTGTGTGTGCCAGGTTGAATACTCCAAGTTTCTGCACTAGCGTGTATAGTGTGCCCAGCCATGGGCAAATGCAATTCTCGTCTATCTGGATGGGCCATGCAGCTGCAGCTTTGGTATGTGGTGTGGAAGCGTGTGTGGCTTCTGATGGTGTTTGACGAAAGGGAAAAAGCTTCCACAGGCTCACCTCCAGTAAATATGTGTCTGCTTTTAGGCAGCTATGCAAATCATTTTCTTATGCAGTCAGGTACATGGGACACAAGGCTGTTGTCACCTTTAGATCCAAGCAATATCTGAGATGCTTGCATTTGAGCAAGAGGGTGATTGATAAATTGGCATCAGTATATATCGTCCTGCAAAGAGCCTGCCCCATCTAAGAAACGAAGATCTCACCAACTTCAGTCATGTTAGTGTCACAGTTGGGAAAGACCTGAGCGTATGTAGATTTGTATCTGTTGGCTTATGCTATTTTCCCTGTCTAACAGAGGACGGGAGAACAAACCTGGGAGAAAGATATCTAGATATAAAAGTTCCTACAGAATAAATTCAAGCAACAGCCAAACCACAGATGCCTGCAACTAATCTGTTTTGTTTTCGTTATTTGGGCATATATCCAAAATGCACTACCAGGGATCACTCCCAATTGCAATTGGGCATGTGGGGAAGAGAAATTAATTCAGCGCCACCCCCTTCAAAAAACCGTATGGGTTGTTGGGAAGGAAGCCCATTTCAAAATGATTTTCTATTGCACAAATTCCTGCTTATGTTTTCTCCTGCTAGTTTAATTTCAGGAACTTTTGGGGAGGAAATACAAGTTACCAAGGAGTGATTAGTTACCAAGTTTACAGCTCTGCTAGTAAGGCAGGAACAGCTACCACAAAAACTTCAAAGTCCATGCTGTACCAACTGATGTATCTAGTGAG